CACAAAAGAAGCTGAGATGGGAAAGAATTGCTTTAATTTATTTTGGACAACTAGAGCTGCTTTGGACCTTGGTAGCATAGCTCTCAGCTACCCATTGGGTTTCCCTGGTTCTCACTTCTTATACCTATAGAATAAACCTTGACTGCCCACGGTAACCTGTTTCTTACAACTTAAAGGAGCCTCACTGACAGTTCTGGAAATTGGCACTCCTGTGTAAAGTAAAAACTTTCTAAAGTATTTTGCCAATAAAACAGCAAGAACATTACTTGGTTTATAGCTGTGCATGCCTGATTGCACTAGTATTCTCTGACAGATTGAGTTAGCGTGGCAAGACTTAGTTCACCTATTATTTGGGTTATTTATTCATTTGACAAACATGGAAACATTACATACCTGCTATATGAAAGACAGTATATTGTGCCCTCCCTCCATTTTATTTTCAGCATATATTTTTTCAGTTTTATTTTTCAAAAGAGATTATAGTTCTGTGATCTTTATTTTTTCTGTTTTCATAATTAAACACTTCATTTTTTGAAGGGTAGAAGTTACTTTGTTTCTTTGGTACCAGTAATTGTAACCATTGAGCAGGCACTATGTAATGCATTTTGCAGCATTCTCTCATTTACTTCTCTCAAAAGTCCTGTAAAATGGGATTATTTCAATTTTACATGAAAAATGTAAGGTTTTAGGTGCATTGAGTAACTTGTCTAGGACCATGGAGTAGTTAGTAGCAAAGCTGCAGCTGGAGCTCACAACTCTGACTGTAAAGCTCATGCTAAGTCTTAACCACTGTGCAGTATATCCACTCTTTCAGTTCAGAAAATAAATGAATAATGAAAACCAAATTATTTCTTTCTTAAGATTCTCCTTGTAGTTTAGGTGCAGAACTAACATGACCCCCTCTACAGAGTCTTTGCTGATAACTGCCACTCTCCCTGTGCTTCCCATTTTTCCTCCAGTTGAAGGAAACCTTATGTTTTATATCCTCACATCTTTCCAAATTCTGTAGTACTTTGGATTACAGTCCATCAGTCCTCCTTTCTTGATATCTCCCTGCAGCACCTAGTACAAAATCTTGCATGTAGAGGTGGTGCTTGATCTTGTAGAAGTAAAGAATGAATTATTTCCTTGTCTTTACCAACCCAGGAGACTGATAGTTTTGTGCTGATTCTGCTTTTGTGCTTTTAAATGAAGTGAAATGAAATAATTATGAGCAGATTTTCTTTTGTGTCTTTGTATTTAAAATCCATTTCCTATCAAAGCATATGGTTAGGTTTGGTTTTTAAACCAGGCTGACAGTCTCTGCTTTTTAATTGAACTGTTTAGTCCATTTACATTTGATGTAATTATTGATATGGCTGGATTTGGCTCTACCATTTTGCTGTTTTTGTCTTTCTGGGGTTTTTTGTTTGTTTGTTCTCTGTTTTTTCTTTTTTGCAAGTTGTAAACTTTACTGTTGAGTAATTTCTGCTGTAGGCAGTCATAAATTTTTTAAGTGGTTTTTTTGTTTTACTCAACATTTTCAATGCTCTTTACATCTGAGAGTTACCATCTAGTGTCAATTCCTTTTAGCTTTCAGAATTTTTGTTAGCATGCATTGTAATGCAGGTCTGCTAGTGATGAATTCTCTCAGCCATTGTGTTTGAAAATATTTCATCTTCATTTTTAAAGTTTTGCTGGATAGAGAATTATACTGGTAGACAAAACTTTTTTCTTTCTTTCAGCATTTGAAGATGTTCCGTTGTCTTTTGGTCTCCATTGTTTCTGTCCAAAAATTAGTTGTCATTAGTATCAGTGCACTATATGTGATATATGTATATGTACACATACACACATATATACATACATTTTTTAAAAAATTTTTCCTCACCACCTTCAAGATTTTTCTTTAATTAGCAGTTTGACTATGATTTGCCTCAGGATGGTCTTTTTATATGTATTCTGGTTGGCATTTATTGAGCTTGTTGGATCTGTAAGTTAATGTCTTTCTCCAGTTTTGAGCCATTGTTTTTTTCAGATACTTTCTGTGAGACATTTTCTGTCTCCAGTTACATGCCATTACACTGCTAGATACTGTAACAATTATCTGGGCTCCATTAGGGTTTTTTTTTTCCTTTAATATTTTCTTCAGATTGGATAATTGCTGTTTATTTAACTTAAAGCCCACTGGCACTTTTTCTGCCATCTTTTTCTATCAAGCCTATAGAGTGAACTTTTTATTTCATTTATTTCTTGTCAGATCTAGAATTTCCATCGGTTTTTTTTTTTTAATTTAATGAAACATTGTTACAGTGGTTAGATACACATAATGTAAAATTCATCATCTTAACCATTAAGTATAGTTCAGTGATATTAAGTGCATTGACATTGCTGTGCAACCATCCATCTCCAGAATGCTTTTTCATCCTGCAAAACTGAAATTCTATGTATTTGGCTCTTGGTATTGGTTTCTGTTTCTCTATTGATCTTGTCTTTATTCCTTATCTAGGTATTTTCCTTTAAGTGCTGTGAAGTACCTCTTCTAAATTTGTGACACTGGGTCATCTTGGTGTTGGTTTTAGATTGCTTTTTTCTTAAGTACAGGTCACATTTTCTTGTTTCTTAGCATGTCTCATGATTTTTGATAGAACACTGGACATAATGAATGATGTAGAGATTCTGGGTTCTGTTACGATCTTCAGAAGGATTTTCTTTTCGGCATATACTTAATACGGTAAGATTTAAGCTCTGAACTCCTCTCTCCACTGCATTAGCCGTAGTTAAAATCTCCATGCAGTTCTTTCAGTTTCCAATTGCTACTTTTTTACTGGCCCCTGTGAGTTCTCCAGCCAAGCATCTGAACATATATTTAGTTGCAGACTTAGGAGATTCATCACTATGTGGCTCCCTCCCTTTCACGGTTTCTTCTTAACTTTCTGGCTGTCCTTCCAGTCCTGAACTTGGTCCTGTCATTCTAAACCATGCCTTACAGGGATTGGCATGTATTCTTAGACAAAAAGCTATAGATTTATAAATCTCACCAAGTACAGTTCTTCTCTTTCAAGGGTAGACTCTCTTTCAATTTCTCCCTGCTTTTGATCATTTCTCCAGTGCCTTCAAATAATTTAAAATATGTTGTCCAAAGTTTATAATTGTTTTCTGAGGAAGGGTGGTGTGACCATGCTACTCTGTCACTGTTGGAAGCCAGATGCTTTTTGGGGCTTACGTTCAGATGCTTCCCTTATTCTCAGCCTTGTGCTCAGCTGGGCTGTGGAGGACATAGGGCTTCTTCTCAGGGAGCCCCATCTTGAGCTGAGGAGTAGAGAGGGCACAGGAAGCCCTGTGGGAGTATCTTAGTCAGCTTGAACTGCCATTAACAAAATGCCACAGGCTGAGTGGCATAAACAACAGACATTTATTTCTCACAGTTCTGGAAGGGAGAAGTCTAACATCAAGGTGCCAGCAGCATTGGTTTCTGGTGAGGCCTCTCTCCTTGGCTTACAGACAGCTGCCTTCTAATTGTGTCTTTTCTTTTTTCTTGTATGCATGTTTTGCTAGTGTCTCTTCCTCCTTTTATAAGGATTCTGGTCCTGTTGGATTAGGGCCCCATCCTATGGCCACCTATAACCACATAATATCCTTAAAGGCCCTGTCTCTAAATATAGTCACATTGAATGTTAGGGCTTCAACATGAATTTGGGCATAGGGGATACAGTTCCATGCATAATGAGATTAATCTAGCTTCTAGCCTCAGGATTTTATGAGGGAGGTAGGGGAGACAGAGTTGTGTTGTACCAATGGCATCAGGACGTGTTTAATCAGTCACTATGTAAATGCAGAACGTTCCAGGCACAGCATGAAGGGCTAAAGATTCAGTTATGGATAAGACTGGCCCCATCCCTGCCCTCATGGAATTCATGGCTTAGGGGAGTAAAAGATGTATAGACATGACATTGCGGAGTGATGAAGTGGGGGACATATAGGGCTCTCTGGGAACACTGAGGAAGAGGTCCCTAAATAAAGGTTAGGGGTCAGGAAACGCCTCCTCAAGAAAATGCCTTTTTTTTTTTTTTTTTTTTTTTTGGAGACAGTTTGACTCTTGTTGCCCAGGTTGTGGTATAATGGCGTGATCTCGGCTCACCGCAACCTCCACCTCCTGGGTTCAAGTGATTCTCCTGCCTCAGCCTCTTGAGTAGCTGGGATCACAGGCATGTGCCACCACGCCTGGCTAATTTTGTAATTTTATTAGAGACATGGTTTCTCCATGTTGGTCAGGCTGGTCTTGAATGCCTGACCTTGCTGATCTGCCTGCCTCGGCTTCTCAAAGTGCTGGGATTACAGGCATGAGCCACTGTGCCTGGCCGAGAAAATGTCATTCTAAATTAAAATGCTTCCATGGAAGGATGGTGTGACGAAGCTACTCTGTCACTGTTGGAAGCCAGATGCCAAGTAGATACCTTTCGAGGCTTAGGATGAGTGAGGCGTCAGCTGTGAAAGAAAAAATCAAGCAGAGGGTATGGTAAATATGAGAGGCTCCCGGGTTGAGAAGGGCACGCCAGAAGAACAGAAAGTCAATGCGTAGAGCTAGAGCTGGGAGAATTGAGGAAGTGGAGTGGTGAGGGGTAAGGCCAGAGAGGTAGCTTGAGGACAGCTCACTTGTTGGATTGTAACTTCTACTCCTCTTAGGCAACTCCTTTTCCTGTTCTTTTTTTTTTTTTTCCATTTTTGTTTTGTTTTGCTTTTAAAATTTTTATTATTTTTTATCTTTTATCTTTTGAGAGTAAACTCCTTAAAGACAGTGAATAAGTCTCCTTCAGCTTGGTGTCTTCTGCCTGGCAGAGATGCTGTGTAGTACATGTTTACATACCCTTTGTTATGATTTGTGGGGTAAGGTGGCAAGGTTGGGCATCCAGATGACCTCACCTCCTTGGTGAGGTAGGCAAGGGTCTGGAGGTTGCTGGCCATCTCTGGCTGTACCTTGTCCCTGTGTCCTGAGTCACATGGTATTTTGTTGTTGTCAGGCCTGGACAGCGAGTCTGCCTCCAGCAGCATCCGCTTCAGCAAGGCCTGCCTGAAGAACGTCTTCTCGGTCCTGCTCATCTTCATCTACCTGCTGCTCATGGCTGTGGCTGTCTTCCTGGTCTACCAGACCATCACAGACTTCCGTGAGAAACTCAAGCACCCTGTCATGTCTGTGTCTTACAAGGAGGTGGATCGCTATGATGCCCCAGGTAGAGCCTGCCCCTGGACCAGGCTTCAGGGCCACATCTGGGTGTCAGCTGGCAGATACTCCCTGAGCTGCCATTGTATTTGTGGCACTATGGGCAGGGCAGAGGAGCCCAAGCATAGTCTAGGTATAGAGTTCACTCCCAAAGAGCTGCCACTGGGAACATATTATGTGCTGAGGAGAGAAATGGACAGAGCCTAGAGCAGCTACTGCAGGCTACTGGAGGGGTCAGGGAAAGCTTGGCAGAGAGGTAAGGTTTGAGCTGGGCTTTGAAAAGCACATAGCTACGCAGAGACTGTCTTTGGGATGAGGATCAGCAGAGCTAAGGGTGTCTAGGAAGGCAGAGGGCTTCCCTGGAGAGAATGAGACTAACTTGTCTGGGGCCAGAGGACAGGGATAAGGAGAAGCAGGAGTCAAGGCTGGACTGTAGGGTGGGGAGGTGGCAGGGGAGGTGAGGCCATTCAAGGTAGGCAGGAACCCTGCCTGAAGAGGGACTCCCAGGCCACACCATGTATACCTTTCTTGCCCCACTGGGGTGTTTGGTCCTTGAGTGGGGGAGTCCGCTCTGCTACAGAGCAGGCCATCTGCTCCAGGCTACAGGGCTGGCACTGGATGTTCTGGGGGCTGTCGAGTAAATGGGGAAGCATGAGCTGTGTGACTTGGGCCCTGGCCACCCAGTGTGTGCCACCTGCTCTGTCCACAGATGCCCCTGCGTGACCCGCGGGAGGATCTGCTCACATGGCAGAGCCAGAGTCCAGGTGCCCTCTCTCTGGGGCTTCCTGCCAGCCTCCAACAGTCAGGTGTGCTGGTCATGGCTCCTCTGCCTGTCCCTTCCTGTCTTGTGTTTGTCCCTCTTCTCTGTGTGTCTGCGTCAGTCTCTGTATCTGTGGGTTTTACTTTCTCTGTCTGGTCTCTTAGTCTCTGAAGTCTGTCTCTGATGCCACGTGCTACTGTCTTAGCATTGCTGCCCTTGAGGTTGGACAGCTGCTGTCAGTAGAGGTGCCTGGGCTGAGAAGAGTGAGGACTCTTGGGATGTGACTTGCACACTGGGGGCTCCCAGTCTAAGAGACAAAATGAGTTCTGAGGAATTCCACAGCTTAGAGCCTCCCACCAATTCTGCAGGTGGGACTTGGCCCGGAGGGATGGTACAGCAGGGCTCAGTCAAGGGACACTCCCTCGGAGGGTGTGGAGCAGGGATCTGAGTAGAGCAGGTTTTGATGTGGGCATCAGGGTGGCTGTGTCCCAGGATGGCCAGGAGCTTACTGAGGAGGGGCTTGTGCCCTCTGCTAGAGTGGGGCTTCTGAGGCCAGGGGATGTGGCTGCCCACCCTCTGAAACCCTTTTTTTCTCCCTTCCCTGCAGTCATCCAGGGAGTCCAGAACATTGGTTGTTGGTGGGTATGAGATGATTTCAGGGATGTGGTCAGGACTGTGATTTCTGACACTCGCTTTTCCTGTTTATGCCCCCAGGTATTGCCCTGTACCCCGGTCAAGCCCAGTTGCTCAGCTGCAAGCACCATTACGAGGTCATTCCTCCTCTCACAAGCCCTGGCCAGCCGGGTGACATGAATTGCACCACCCAGAGGATCAACTACACGGACCCCTTCTCCAATCAGACTGTGGTAATTCCCGTCTGCCTGAGCTGGGTCTGGGCAGCTGCTCCGTTAGCCCTGCACTCCAAGGGCCCAAGTTTCCTTCTTCCCAGGAGTCTTTCTTCCACTCACTCATTGTGGGGCCTTGGTCCCCAAGCAGACATGTGGCTGTGCCAGGTGGACACTTAGCTGTGATTGGCTCGCCTGCATTCAGGGAGGACAGTGAGGCCTCCAGCCTTTGCTGAGTAATGCTCAGGGATTTCTGACAGTGTGGTGAGACCCTGTCCCTCATGGAAGAATGACAGGGTGGGGCTGGTTGATGTAGCGAAGTGGGTCCCATACCTGTCTGCTTGACAGAATTGCCAGGATACTTTTTGAAAATATGAATTCCCAGGTTCAGGGGGGCCTAGGAATCCATAATTTGAAATAAATATGCCAGTGTAAAGGAGCGCCGGTCTGGGGACAAGGACTCCTGGGCTCTGGCCTGGCTGTATGTCACGCACAGCACAGTACAGATGGGAACGATGACTGTGGGATGGAGTTCAGAGCGCCTGGAGGAGTGGCACTGCACAGGGTTTCGAAGGCGGGGTAGGAGTTTTGCGTCGATTTATATCTCATCTTTTTCATTTCGTATCCTTGCTTCAGAAAGGATTGAAAGCGGCTACAATAAAGTTTACCAGATCAAATGGCGAAGGAAAGGTTTTCTAGGCAGAGAAAGTGCCACCGTGACCTAAAGGGAAGAGAGGACATACTGTACTTGTGCTCCTGGGCACAATTGCAGTTGGTGGGGAGATGTTTCGTAGGGTCAGGAGCCCTGGAAGACTGATGGGAGATGAAGCTGTGGACTGAATAATGGCCAGATGAGAAAAGCACATGCATCATGCTGTAGAGCCACACTTGCTCCCTTGGGTAACAGGGAACTGTTAGTGGGTTTTAAGATAAAATCACACTAATTTTTTTTTGTTAATATGTGTATGCTAGGCTCCCTCCTAAAATCCTACTGAAATGATTCCTGCAAGGAATGGGATAGAACAGACTAGAACATCAGTAATAGCTTTGCACACGAAGAAACGAAATCACCAGTGGACCAGACATTTTGATGAGCTGGTATAAAGTATATAAAACAACTTGGGCCAGATTGGTGGAACAAATAAATTAGAGAAAACCACTAACCCAAAACAGATGCAGGAGAGACCTGCTGTAGATGTACAGTCTTTCCTTCCAAACCCCCAGCTTGGAATCAGCACCTTCAGAAAGCAGGGTAGTCATTACTGGACTGCCTGTTGGCTGGGCCAGATGCACCCTATACCCTAACCAGATATGCAGAGCCGCTGGGGATGGTTGCTTCTGGGTAAAAGACCCTGGAACCATTCTCTACAAAAGCTAAGGGAAGGTTCTCTGCTTAGGCATAGGAAACAGCAGACTTAGAATTGAAAAGGAGAGAGAACTAAAGGAAAGGACTCCCCTCAGAGTGAAACACACTGGAATAATCAAAGTGCTTCCACAGAGCATACTTAGCTTTCCCATGCAAGGGAGAGGCCTATTAGAGAAACTGAAATTTACTACTTTGGAAGAAACCAAAACCCCAGACCTATACTAGTCAACCTAATCTTTCATTCATAAATAAGAATGGAGAATTAATGGTCTCCAGATATTTGCATGAAACCAGTGACATAAAAGGACCAAGATGAACAAACAGAATGGACTCTAGAATAGGGAAATGAAAGCTAATTAAAACAAAAAGGAAAACAACTTTTAAACAGTTCTACTGTGAAGTTATATGCATAATGGAAGCTCTCTGTCTGGATTTGCCACTCTCTTCTTCCCTCTGTAAAACACACTAATGAACACTTGAGGCTGCTTCTGTCCCACCAAGTGCCTATTCTCTGTATGCCGTCCTTTCCCCCAGTTGAAGGGTATATGCTTAGGAGGGGTCAGTGTGGGTCATTTCCAAACCTGTGTGGGCTAGTTGCACTTATTACAATAGTCACATAATTCGACTACATTTTGTAAAAACCCTTGAAATAAGGGCACAGAAAGAGAATTGTTTTTATGGAAATGAAGTTGAATGCAGCTACTGCCCCCAGCTCTGAGTAATGGTTCATCTCCTCCATCACTTCCTTGAATTCCACAAGCTATAAATTAACAGAGAAGTTATCTCCTCCCTATCCCTCACGTTTCCTACCCAAACCAGCATATAGCAGTGGAGGAAGAATAAGATGAGAGCAGTAGAGCTCCCATTTGGAAAAGGAAGAAGGATAAGGGCTCGCAGCTCTGCCCGGCAGCAGTGGTGGAACCCTGCGGGTTGGGACTAGTGAGACGCCGCCTTGGCATGAAGTAAGCTCCTTCGTTTGAACCTGTTGCTACCCTCAGAAAGAGACTCCTATGTGCTCCGGCCTTGTCTGCTGGAAGGATCTGCCTTGGTGGTAGTGTTCTTTGGCGATATCTGAAGTGGTCATTAGAAAATACGCCCTCCCTGGGGGCTGCACAGCTTGTGCCACTCACTTCCTGCTTGTGTGGTTTTGGAAGCAGCTTTAGGGCTAAACAATCGCAAACTTGGAGGGTGGCTTCTTACTTGCCTCCTCCTCCCACTACCTTTGTTTGCAGTGAGATTTAAGAAATGTGTAGGCTTCTGGCTGTTGGCGTCCAAGCAAGTCCATATAAAAGTGACCCCAGTCGAGGGTCTTATCCTGTTATATTTGTAAAATCTTAAGAATTTTGCTGATTTTCTGGTACTTTCTTTCATGCTCTCAATTTAATGGTAGTTAATTTTTACCAAATGCTCTGGTCCGGCACAATAATGTGCACCACCTTTCCAGCCTGCAGGATCCTTATCTGTTTCCTTACTGCCCGCCATTTTCCTACTACCCAAATGTTTGGCTGATGCCTCATTTTTAGGTTTTTTTGCAACCATAAAACACTCCAGTGTCAGCTAACAAATTGTGTATTAGTCAGAGTATAGGCTAAGCTACCACTAAAAACCCACAAATACAGAGGCTGAGATGAGGGAGAAGGACTGAGAACAGTCCTGGCATGCAGGCTCTGTGACATAGTGGGTAGTGCTGCCTCAAAGGATGATCCAGCCATGACTTTTGTCTTGTCACTGTGCTGTGTCCTGGGCATTGTTCTGGTCCGTGTGGGCTGTGTTCGTGTGTGGGTGTGTGCGGATGTGCACATGCCCATGCCTGGGAAGGTAAGAAGTGGAGGGCAAGCAGTTCCCTTTTTTTTTTTTTTTTAATTTATTTTTTTTATAATAGAAATGGGGTCTTGCTATGTTGCCCAGTCTGGAGTGCAGTGGCTATTCACAGGCACAATCCTACTACTGTTCAGCACAGAAGTTTTGACCTGCTCCATTTCCAGCCTGGGCTGGTTCACCCCTCCTTAGGCAACCTGGTGGTCCCCTGCTCCTGGAAGGTCTCCATATTGATGCCAAACTTAGTGGGGACACCTGATCAGCATAGTGCACTGCATCCCAGAACTCCTGGACTCAAGCGATCCTCCAGCCTCAGCCTCCCGAGTAGCTGGGACTACAGGCACATGCTACTGCACCCAGCTAGCAGTTCCCTTTTCGAGAAATGGTGTGGAGTTGAATGAGTCTCCTTTTCTTTCACACATTAGGAACTTCATCACATGGCCACATTTGAGGCCAGAAATGAGGCTCCAGCAGGGCAAGTGGATTCTGCTGAAATCTGAGTTGGGAAAGCCGCTCTAGTACTAAAGGAATAAATGGATCATGGAAACCGGGGACAGTGCTCTTTGCTGCACACTTAAAACAAAATGGCACAGAAAGATTGAAAAATAAATAGATGGACAAAGCTGTCTTGGGAAAATACAACGAAAACCAGAAATGACAATATTAATAGTCAGTGTGGAATTCCATGTGCAAAGGTTGAAAGAAGGATGTTTAACATTGATAAGAGGTTCAACTCCGTAATCTCCATTAAGATGACTGAACAGTTCCAAAACCTTATGTACAAAACAGCATGTCATTTATATATTTTAAGCAAAACCCATTAGAAGTAAAAAATACCATCATTTTAGAGCATGATTTAAACACCCCTCTCAGAAAGTCACAGATCAAATAGACAAAAACTAGAAAGGATAAGAATTGAATAGTACAGTTAATAAATTTAGAGTATGTATGGTATGTGTGGGTATACATGTGGGGGCACAAAACTTTGTAACTGACAATGTATTCACTCTTTGAAATATTTGTAGAGCATTTATAAAAGTTAATATAAAAGATTTTTTCTAAAATTAATATATAAATTCAGTTTCCATCACAGTTAAAAGTCTCAATGAATTTTTTTTATGGAACTAAGCAGGCTAGTTTTAAAGCATTCTTAGAAGAACACATGTTCAGAAATAACCAAGACAAGTTTGGGGATGGAGAAGAGTGTAGGGAGGGCACCTGCCCAGATCTCAGAACAGTGGAAAACCACAGGAATCAAACTGGTACAGTACTGGACGGAGACAGACAAATGTGCGGGCTCTGCTAGGGCCAGGAGCAGACACAGATATTGGTTCTGTATTGAATTTAGTATAGGATAAAGGAGGGAGGGGAGGAGGCTTTAAAACCTTTATCCATTGTTTGGGAAGTAGCAGTTAGATCCCTATTTCATACCGTATTCAGAGCTTAAAGCCAGGTAGTATCTAGAAAAGGTTAAAAAGTGCTATAAAGAAATAGAGAAGAATATTGATAGAATTTTGGCTTTCCTCAGCAAGCAAAACCCAAAGCCATAAAGAAAAGGATTTATAGGTTTCACCACATTAAAGTTTCCATATGACAAATGACATTGGAAACAAAAGAAAAATGACAGACTGGAAGATTTGCACACAGAAGAAATGAAAGTGAACATGCTTGCTAAATTAAGAGCTTCCATAACTCAACCAATGAGAGAAGTGGACAGAGGATGAGCTGCATTCAGCTCTGGTGCAGGGAAGACTCCCCAGGAATGAGCATGCATCCCAGCCTGCGCCCGCTCTCATCCGAACACGAGGGTCTGGCTAGTAGTCCCTTTGGAGACCACTGGGCGAGGAGCTATGGGCTTTCCAGTCAGTGCTTCTGCCCTCAGACGTAGAGGACTCTGTGTGTTCTCACAAGACTGAGATTCTGTCCTTTGTTTCTCTGCAGAAATCTGCCCTGATTGTCCAGGGGCCCCGGGAAGTGAAAAAGCGGGAGCTGGTCTTCCTCCAGTTCCGCCTGAACAAGAGTAGTGAGGACTTCAGCGCCATTGACTACCTCCTCTTCTCTTCTTTCCAGGAGTTCCTGCAAAGGTGACCTTTTAGAGTTCACAGTAGGCTTATTGTCTACTTTTTATCTCATTTCAGCCTTGTACATCTCTGGGCTAGAGACGGAGGGGTAAGGGAAGGGAAGGGGAATTCCCAGATGACACACTGGCCCAGGAAGGGACCTCATGAGCTCGACCAGTCCACTCAACATCTTACCACAAAGTTAAGCAAGTGGAGGAGCACGCTCGCTCTCCATGCACTTAGTGCTGGCTGGTTCTGGAGAGATCATGTGGTCTGGCCCATTGCCTGGGGCTGCTGAAGAGTAAGGGAAGCTAAGCTGCCTTTGATTTGTAAGCCCGCGTGAGGGCAAGCTCTTGTCTGGTTCCTCGGTTTCTCCGCGGCGTGCACAAGAACCGTGTCTTGCCCTTAGTGAGGGCTCAGTGTGTGTTTGCTTGAAAAAGTACAGTTGGCCCTTGAACAACTTGGCGTTTGGAGTTACCAAACTTAACCACTCTTGCCTGTCCAGTCAAAAATTTGTGTATAACTTTTGATTTCCCCAAAACTTAACGACTAACAGCCTACTATTGGCAAGAAGCCTTGCCAATAACATAAAGAACACATATTTTGTGTGTTGGTAAACTGTATTCTTGTGATAAACTAGAGAAAAGAAAATGTTATTAAGAAAATCATAAGGAAGAGAAAATATACTTACTATTCAGTAAGTGGAAGTGATCATTGTAAAGGCTTCATCCTCATCGCCTTCATGTTGAGTAGGCTGAGGAGGAGGGTGTTGGTCTTGCTGCCTCAGGAGTGGCAGAGGCAGAAGAAAATCTGTAAGTGGGCCCGCCCAGTTCAAACCTGTGTTGTTCAAGGGTTTACTGCATCTTTAGTATGAGGATGTAAGCTCTATCACCTCTCTTAGTCTTTAATTTACAGTGATGAATGTCCACTGACTATCAGGAAGCTCCTGTCTGCTCCACACACACACTGCTTTGGGGTCACACCGTGGAGCCTAGAGGGCAGGAGCATGTTCTTCACATGCCTGAGCTGAGAGGGACTTAGTTCCTACCAGGTCCTGCTGAGCCCAGAGGCTCCATTCAGAGCAAGCAGGGAGGCAGCTATGGGGGCAGGGAGGATGTTCCCCAGCTGCACGTGCAGCAAGCTTTCTCCATTCCACACCACCACTTCTTTGTTCTTCCACCCCAGAGCTTGGAGCCTCTGCCTTAGCATCTTCCACCCTTTCTACCACCTATAATTCCCTCTCCTTTGTCTTGCCTTCCTCCTGGAAGACTTTCCCTGGGATCCAGACCCCACTCCATGCTCCTTTCGTGAGCTTCCTCAGTAAGCTGCTGCAGTTTTTACTTGTTTTTATGCTTGCTTTGACTTTGCTGCATCTGCACTGTCTTGGGGCTGATGTTATAGGTGTCCCACCTGGCTGAGTGCTCCCCAAGGAACCCTCTTCCCCTCTTTGGGCCTTCCAGAGGGAACTGATGGGCCAGTGAGGGCTTCCCCAGGCTCTGCTCAAGTCCAGAGCGCCCTGAGGAGCCGTGAGCACCATGTTCTGGGGAGCTTCTGCCAACTTCATTGCCAACAGCTTTGGTAGCAGTTGATAGGAATGATGGGAAGAGGGAGGAGGATTTCTCCCATTGGGAGCTTCAGGGATCATGCTCCTGCCTTGAGGCCAGTGACAACTCCCCCTCCATTTGGAAACCAAATGGAGAGAAAACAGGAACGGGCCTGGCTTTTGTTGGTGACTGACAAACAGCCCTATTGAGGCAAACACAATTTGGAGAGGAGGCAGGGAGTGGGCAGCATCCTGGTTGTCCCAGCAAAGAAACCAGCATGCACTGCCCTGCTGCCTGCTGCCTGCTGCCAAAGCTGGATTGACCTGGATCTTCCTTCTTCTTTCCTCCCTCCAAGCCCAAATAGGGTAGGCTTCATGCAGGCCTGTGAGAGTGCCTATTCCAGCTGGAAGTTCTCTGGGGGCTTCCGCACCTGGGTCAAGATGTCACTGGTGAAGACCAAGGAGGAGGATGGGCGGGAAGCAGTGGAGTTCCGGCAGGAGGTAGGTGGCTCTGGGTTTGCTCAAAACTGCTGGTGACTTTTCCACATTTGAGTCTGAAGTGGAGGGAAGCTTTGCAGAGAAGGGTCCTTTGAGCAGGGCCTTGAGGGTGATTGGGCATTGGCTGGGATGAGAAGGGACCCCCATGGAGGGCTTCTTATGCCATGCCAGGGAGTCTGTTCTGCAGGCAGCACACATACCGGCCAGTCTTCACAGAATGCATGTGTGTGTGGGGCAGAGATCACTGCGGCTTGCAGTGAGGTCAGCAACTCGCCCAGCCATGTCTGATGTCCTGCATCTGGCAGCACTGTGAGAGGCTGGCAGTGGCATAGCAGATTGATTATTTGTGGGGAAGTGAGAGTAAGACACATTGGTCCCAAGTGTGCATGTTGATCCTTTTCCTAAGGTCCTCTTCAGCTCTCATAGGCATCATAGCAAGAGATATCAGGCATATCTCCTGGCCTCTAGGCCAGTGGGCTAAAAACTTTTTGATCAGATTTCCCATGAGTAAAAACTTTTTGAGCATGTACTCCATATACATATAACTTTGCAGGTGATCAGTGTGTAAGTGGACCCGCCCAGTTCAAACTTGTGTTGTTCAAGGGTCTACTGCATCTCTAGTATGAGGTTACTCTAGTATGAGGATACATCTCTAGAACATACTATTATTATTCTAATGTTCTATACATTTTAACATTCAAAAATAGAAATGTTATGAGATAAAAATAAATACTAAAAAAAGCTAATCTTTTCCTCCTGCATCCCAATGGCTCATGATGTGCATTTCAAGCAGAAGGACACACTCCAGCCAACTAGGCCGTCACTGGCCAGAAGTTAGGCAGGAGGGGACTGTGCTGGGTTAGTCTTAAACAGGGCTCTTTCATGAGCCCTAGCTCCTCAGGCTGGATACTTGGAAGAGGCTCAAAGCCAGTTTTCTTCAAGGAAGCAAGGCTATTTTTCCTGCTTTGGGAAGTGACAACCCCCTCTGTGATTGGACCTTAAAATATTCCTATTTTGTAAGATAACTGTCATCTCCAAGATTTTTACTTCCAAATTTGCTCCAAGATTCAAGTCCTTATTCAAGTCTTATCTGTCTTATCTGGCTTTTTCTGTCTTACCTGATTCAGGTCTTATCTGGCCCCAGAACAGCTCTGAGAAAGGAGACTGTGTTCATTCACCTTACAATTTAGTGCAACCCCATCTACCCTGGCTCTCCTGGTAGCTCCCACTGTGACCCGAAACCAAAAGGTGAAAACCCTAGTGAACCTGTACATTTAAGAAATTTTAATGCCTTTTATTACCGTCTACATTGGAAGTCTTGATGGTGTTATGAGCGCTATTGAACAAAACTAAAAAATGTGTTTTTAAATCACATTTTAGAATTTAGAATGCTCTCACATAGGTATGCCCCCACACTGTAGTGACATAGGCATTTTGTTCCATTTTGCGGGTGGCAAAGCTGAGGCTCAGCTCTGATGATGGATCCAAGCCTCTGGGTGGAGCTGGTTTCTGCCTCTGTAACCTGTCTGCTCTCCATTACACCACACAGCCTCTTTAGTAATTGACAACCAGATCTCACCAAGCACATCTACTAAGTCTTTACAGGGAATGCTCAGCTCTGTGGATCTATGCAGCTGTGCTTTGTCCCTGTAAAATTCAAGGGTTGAAACGGGTTGAAAGTTCAGACAAACACTTGGTTTAAAAACCAAGTATTTTGAAATTTTGAATTTTTATTGCTTTTAATTGTGAGACTTACATGGTAGTTTGAATATGGCTTATTTTTTATTTATTTTTTTTGGAGACAGAATCTTGCTCTCTTCCCTAGGTTAGAGTGCAGTGGCGCGATCTTGGCTCACTGCGACCTCTGCCTCCCAGGTTCAAGTGGTTCTCCTGCCTCAGCCTCCCAAGTAGCTGGGAATACAGGTGCCTACCACCATGCCCAGCTAATTTTTGTATTTTTAGTAGAGTCAGGGCTTAACCATGTTGGCCAGGCTGGTCTTGAACTCCTGACCTCAGGTGATCTGCCTGCCTCAACCTCCCAAAGTGCTGGGATTATAGGCATGAGCCACCATGCCCCCCCGAATATGGTTTAATTGTGAGTATAGATACCTAGTGACAAATTTCAGTGACAATCCAAAACACCTGTTGTATATCACAGATCCCATTTCCCCAGAGAACCACGTAAACCAAGGTAAAGCCTTGGCTCTGCTGCCAGTGTTCGGGATCTTGTGTATATGAGATTTTTGCCACTCTCTCTCCAAAAGATAGTGTGAGGAGAACCACAGTCTACGATCCCCTCCCACTCTCTCACATTTCCCTGGGCACAGGTGAGGGAAGGGTGCACAGAGGTGGTAACACTGCTTTTTCTCCTCCATATCCAGACAAGTGTGGTTAACTACATTGACCAGAGGCCAGCTGCCGAAAAAAGTGCTCAGTTGTTTTTTGTGGTCTTTGAATGGAAAGATCCTTTCATCCAGAAAGTCCAAGATGTGAGTATTATTTAAGATATTTGATAGCAAAACCCGCTTTCCTGAAGCATTTTGGCTCATTCTTGTAGACTGGTAAGTCTACCTACCTGTCTTCATCTTTTTTCATAGCACAAATTAGTTCGTAATTTATATTTATGACATTAGTGTTACATATTCTTTATGTTTGGTCTTGTCTTCATCACAAGACTTTCTCTGTGAAGGAGGGAAACTTTCATTTTGCTCACCATAATTTATCTGGTATATAGCAGAGTGCATAGTGCAGAGTAGCTGCTTAGTAGTAACGTTCATTGAATAAATTGAGTAGAAAGCATTAAGTTACTACTATACAAGTTACTGCATTTGCACGTTGTTCTTTTTCTAAGTGGTTCTCTATAGGATAAATACCTACTACTTGTAGTAAGTCAGAGCAGAACAGCACAAATAAATAGCAAAGCATTAATGCCATATTTTTTAAAAATTGATACACAATATACATATTTATGTGGTACATGTAATATTTTGATACATGCATACAAGGTCTAATGATCAAATCAGGGTAATTAGGTTATCCATCATCTCAAACATTTATCATTTCCTTGCATTGGGAACATTCTTCTAGCTATTTTGAAATATATAATACATTCTTATTAAATATAACTGCTCTACTGTATTATCATATCATCTAACTGTATTTTTGTACCCATTAACCAATTTCTCTTCATTTCCTGCTTTCCCCAACCCTTGCCTGCGTCTGGTAACCACCATTTTACTCACTACCTCCATGAGACTATTTTTTTAATTCCCACATGAGTGAGAACATGTGATACTTGTTTTTCTGTGCCTGGCTTATTTCACTTAACATAATGTTCTCTGGCTTTGTTCATGTTGCTGCAAATGACAGGATTTCATTCTTTTTATAGCTGAATAATATTCCATTGTGTATATATACAACATTTTCCTTATCCTTTCATCCTAAGTGTTGATCGGCACTTGAGTTGATTCCATATATTGGCTGTTGTAAATACTGCTCCAGTAAACATGGGAGTGCAGAGATCTCTTTGATACACTGATTTCCTTTCTTTTCTTTTTTTTTTTTGGATACATACCCAGCAATGAGATTGCTGGATCATATGGTAGTTTTCCTAGCTTTTTGAGGGAATCTCTATACTGTTTTTTCATGGTGACTTTAATAATTTACATTCCCACCAATAGTATACAAGCATTCCCCTTTCTCCATGTCTTCACTAGCATCTGTTACTGTCTTTTTGATAGTGGTCATTTTAACTGAGGGGAGGTGATACCTTATTTTGGATTTGATTTGCATTTCCCTGATTGATTAGTGTTGTTGAGCATATTTTCATATGCCTTTTGGCCATTTGAATGTCATCTTTTGGGATAAATGTCTCTTCAGAATTCTTGCCCATTTAAAATTGGATTATTTGGCTTTTTTACTGTTGAGTTGTTTGAGCTCCTTATATAGTCTGGTTACTAATCCCTTGTTGGATGCATAGTTTGCAAATAATTTCTCCCATTCTGTAGGTTGTCTCTTAACTTTGTTGTTTCCTTTGCTGAACTGAAGCTTTTTAACTTAAATGTAATCCCGTTTTTCTGTTTTTGCCTTTGTTGCCTGTGCTTTTGAGGTATTACCAAAAAGATCTTGGTCCAGACTAATGTCCTAAAGCATTAACATAGTGTTTGCTTCTAGTTTTATAATTTCAAATCTTAGATTTAAGTCTTTAATCCATTTTGACTGGACTTTTCTAGATAGTAAGAGATAGGGTCTAGTTTCATTCTTTTGCGTATGGATATCCAATTTTCCCAGCACCATTTATTGAAGAGACTGTGCTTTCTCAATTGTATTTTCTTGGTGTCTTTGTCAAAAATTAGTTGGTTGCATATACATAGATTTATTTCTAGATTTTCTGTTCTGTTCCGTTGGTCTGTGTGTCTGTTTGCTACTTTGTTTACTATAACTTTGTAGTATATTTTGAAGTCAGGTAGTGTGATGCCTTCAGCTTTGTTCTTTATGTCCAGGATTGGTTTGGCTAGTTAGTGTGTTTTTGTGGTACCATACAGAATTTAGGATTTTTTTTTTTTTCTGCTTCTGTGAAGAATGCCATTGATATTTTATAGGAATTGCATTCAGTCTGTAGATTGCTTTGGGTAGTGTGGACATGTCAACAATGCTAGTTCTTCCAATCCATGAACATAGGCTATTTATCCATTTTTTGTGTCTTCAATTTTTTCATCCATATTTTACAGTTTTCATCATAGAGATCTTTTACTTCTTCGGTTAAATTTATTCCTAGGTATTTTATATTTTTTATAGCTATTGTAAATGGGATCACTCCTTTATTATTCATTTTATTCTTGCATTGCTATAACTTTTTTAGATTGTTCACAGTTAGCATATAGAAATACTCCTGATTTGGGGGTGTTGATTTTGTGTCCTGTGACTTTACTGAATTTATCAGTTCTACCAGTTTTTTGGTGGAGTGTTTACGTTTTTCAAAATATAAGATCATGTCATTTGCAAAGAAAGAAAGATAGTTTGACTTCTTCTCAATTTGGATTCCCTTTCTTTCTTTCTCTTGTCTAATTGCTCTGGCTAGGACTTCCAATATTATGTTGAACAAAAATGATGAAAGTAGGCATCCTTGTCTTGTTCTAGATCTTAGAAGAAAGGCTTTCAATTTTTCCCCATATGATGTTAGCTGTGGGTTTGTCATATATGACCTTTATTATTTTGAGATATGTTCCTTCTATACTCAGTTTATTGAGTTGTTTGAGAGTTTTATTTATTTTTTTAAAGACACAGTTTCATTCTGTTGCCCAGGCTGGAGTGCAGTGGCGTGATCTCAGCCTACTACAACCTCTGCCTCCCAGGTTCAAGTGATTCTAGTGCTTCAGCCTCCCAAATAGCTGGGATTATAGGTGCACATCACCATGCCCAACTAAATTTTGTATTTTTAGTGGAGATGAGGTTTCACTGTGTTGGACAGGCTGGTTTCAAACTCCTGACCTCAAATGATCTGCTCACCTCAGCCTCCCAAAGTGCTGGAATTACAGTTGTAAGCCACCACACCCAGCCCATTAAGAGTTTTTATCATGACAGTATGTTGAATTTTTTCAAATGCTTTTTTTACCATCTTTTGAAATGATTACATGATTTTTGTTCTTGATTCTGTTAATAAGATGTATTTTGTTTATTGGTTTACATATGTTGAATCATCCTTGCATCTCTGGGATGAATCCCACTTGATAATGGTGAATGATCTTTTTAATGTATTACTGAATTTGGTTTGCTGTTATTTTATTGAGGACTTTTGCATCTATGTTAATCAGGGATATTGGTCTGTAGTTTTCATTTTTTATTGTGTCTTTGTCTTGTTTTAGTATCAGGGTAATGCTGGCCTTGCAGAACAAGTTTGGAAATATTCTTCAATTTTTTAGAATAGTTTGAGTAGAATTGCTATTAATTTTTTTAAATGTTTGATAAAATTTAGCAATGAAGCCATCAGGTGCTGGGCTTTTCTTTGATGGAAGACATTTTATTACTGCGTCTATCTTGTTACTCATTTCGGTCTATTCAGGTTTTCTATTTCTTCATGGTTCAATCTTGGTAGACTCTATCCAGGAATTTTTTCACTTTTAGGTTTTCCTTTATTGGCATATAGTTGTTCATAAGTCTCTAACGATCCTTTGTATTACTGTGGCATCAATTGTAATGTCTTTTTTTTTGGTCTGATTTTATTTATTTGGGTCTTCATTCTGTTTTTCTTAGTCTGGCTGAAGGTTTATTGATTTTGTTGATCTTTTCAAACAACTAATTTTTCATTTGAGTTTTAGTTTCATTTATTTCTTTTGATCATTATTCTGATAAATTTGGGTTTGGTTTGTCCTTTTCTAGTTCTTTGAGGTGATCATTAGCTTATTTGAAATCACCACTTTTTTTGATGTAGGCATTTATTATAAACTTCCCTTTTAGTACTGCTTTTGCTGATCTCATAGGCTTTGGTATGTTTTTTCCATTTTCATTTGTTCAATAAATTTTAAAATTTCCTTAATTTCTTCATTGACCTTTGGTCACTAAGGAGCATCATGTTTAATTTCTACGTATTTGTACAGTTTCCAAAATTCCTTATTATTGATTTCTACTTTTATTTTTTGTGGTCAGACAAGATACTTGATATGATTTTGATTTTTCTGAATTAGTTGAGACTTGTTTTGTGGCCCAACAGATGGTCTTCCCTGGAGAATGTTCCATGTGCTGATGAAAAAAATATGTATTCTGTAGCAGTTATATGAAATGTTCTGTAAATGTCAGTTAGGTCCATTTGGTCTAGAGTAATAGTTTAATTCCAATGTTTGTTGATTTTCTGTCTAGATAATCTGTCCATTGCTATAAGTGGGACACTGATGTCCCCCACTATTATTGATTGCAGTCTGTCTCTCCCTTTAGATTTATTAATATTGGCTTTATGTATTTGGTTGCTCTGATGTTGAGTGCATATATATTTATGGTTGTTACATCTTCTTGTTGAATTGACTCCCTTATAATAATGATCTTTGTCTCTTTTTCCAACTTTTGAAGTCTATTCTATCTGCTGTAGGTATAGTTACACCTGTTTTTTGGTTTTTTTTTTTTTTTTTAACGTTTGTGTGGGATGTCTTTTTCTATCCCTTCACTTTCTTTTTTCCCCCCCTGAGATGGAGTCTTGCTGTCTTGCCCAGGCTGGAGTGCAGTGGCATGATCTTGACTCATTGCAACCTTCACCTCCCGGGTTCAAGCAATTCTTCTGCCTCAGCCTCTTGACTGGTGGGATTACAGGCATGTGCCACCACACCTGGCTTATTTTGGTATTTTTAGTAGAGAAGGGGTTTTGCCATGTTGGCGAGGCTGGTCTCAAACTCCTGACCTCAGGTGATCCACTCACCTTGGCCTCCCAAAGTGCTGGGATTATAGGTGTGAGCTACTGTGCCTGGCCTATTTCTTCACTTTCAATCTGTGTGTCTTTATAGGTGAAGTATATGCTGTCTGGCAGCATACAGATGGGTCTGGTTTTTAAATAAATTCAGCCACTATGTCTTTTAGTTGAAGAATTTGGTTGATTTACATTCAACATTATTATTGATAGAGAAGGACTTATTACTGCTATTTCGTTTTCTGTTTTCTGGTTTTGTAACTCATTCTTCTTATTGTCTTTGTGGGTAAATGATTGTTTCTTTAAATTCCTTGCTTTTTATTTTTATTCTCTCCATTATAGGTCCTTGCTTTATGGTTGCCATAAGGCTTACAAAAAACACCTTGCAATTAAAACAAGTTATTTTAAACTGAGGACAACTTAACTTTGATCAGAAAGAAATAAAAAACTTTAAAAACTACACTTCAGCCTGGGCACAGTGGCTCACGCCTGTAATTCCAGCACTTTGGGAGGCCCAGGTGGGTGGATCACAAGGTCAGGAGATCAAGACCATCTGGGCCAACTTGGTGAAACCCCATCTCTACTAAAAATACAAAAAAACTAGCTGGGCGTGGTGGCACACACCTGTAGTCCCAGCTACTCAGGAGGCTGAGGCAGGAGAATTGCTTGAACCCAGGAGGCAGAGATTGCAGTGAGCCGAGATCACACCACTGCACTACAGCCTGGGCGACAGTGGGAGACTCCATCTCAAATAAAGAAAAAAAAACTAGATTTCAACTCTATTTTGACTTCTTATTATATCTATTTATATTTTTATATTGCCTGTCTCTTAACAGATTGTTGCAGTTATTATTTTTGATCCATCTTTTAGTCTTCATACTAAAGAGATGAATGGTTTCTACACCCCAGTTACAGGATTCTGATTTGTCTGTGTACTTAACTTTTACCAGTGAGTTTTATACCTTCAGATGATTTCTTGTTGCATGTTAGTGTCCTTTTATTTCAGATTGAAGAACTGCCTTTAGATTTTCTCATAAGAGAGTTCTAGTGGTGATTAATTTCCTCAGATTTTGTCTAGGAAAGTATTTCTACTTCATGTTTGAAGGATTCAGTAGCTTTGTGCCAGAATATCACTGGGTACAATATTCTTGGTTGGCAGTATTTTTTTCTTCCCACTTCAGCACTTTGAATATGTCATCCCACTTTTTCCTGACATGTAATGTTTCCACTGAGAAGTCTGCTGCCAGATGTATCAAAGCTCCTTTATCTTGTCTGCTGCTTTTCTTTTACTGCTTTTAGGATCCTTTCTTTGCTTTGGCCTTTGAGGGTTTATTATATACTTTAGTGTAGTCTTATTTGGGTTGAATCTACTTGGTATTCTTTGACCTTCATGTACCTGGAATATTCATATCCTTTTCCAGACCCTCTTGTACCTGGATATTCATATCTTTCTCTAGGTTTGGGAAATTCTCTGCTATTATTTCTTTGACTAAACTTTCTACCCCTATCTCTTTCTCTACTCCCTTTTTTTTAAGACCGTTGACTCTTGATTTGCCCTTTTGCCTTTAAGCTCACTAATTATTTCTTCTGCTTGATCAATTCTGTGTTTGAGACACTGATGCATTTTTCAGTTTGTTAATTGTACTTTTCAGCTCTAGGATTTCTATTTGAATTTTTAAAAATTATTTTAATTTGTTGTATTTCTCTGATAAATTTCTGAATTGAGTCTTTGTATTTCATTGAAGTTCTTGGAGTTTCCTCAGGACAGCTTTTTTGAATTCCCTGAGCAGTCACACATCTCTGTCTCTTCCAGATTGGTCACTGGCCCCTTATTTAGTCTGTTTGATGAGGTAGTATTTTTCTGAATTTTTCTGGTGCTCATGGGCATTGATGACTTAGGTATTTATTTCAGTCTTCACAGTCTGCCCTTGTGTATACACATCTGTTTCAGAGGTTTTTCTACAAAATGAAAAGGGACTGATGATTTCCCTAAGTGTGTGGTCACTACTGCTGTTTGAGCACTAGAGGGCAGTCTAAGCCAAGTTACACTGTGACCATCTTGCAGACTTCTAGATACCCAGCTCTGATGTATGTGGGGAGGATGAGAGAGAATGCCTGGGGGTTCCCAGGCAAAGTCCCTTGCTCACTTTGATCTCTTTCCCTCAAGGGGAAGGAGTTTCTCTCTGAGCTGCCTGGAGTTGGGGAGGGGTAAGGCCGGTACTCCCATGGCTCCTATACCAATGCAATACTGGGGTTTGCCTAAGGCAACTTTAGTCATCCAGTGATGAAGCTGGCTGGGGTTTGGGTCCATCCCACTAGGGTGGCAGATTGCCTTTTGGCCATGGTGGGTTTAGAAGTGCTGTTTGGGAGCAATGGCCTATAATTAGGGGATTCAGGATTCTTCCTGGTGCTGTGTTTTTTACTGTGGCAGGGCTGGTACTAGGTTCCAAGGCAAAGTCCCTCATAGTCATCCCTCTCCTTTGCCCAAGCAGGAGTGTTTCACCATGCTGTACTGCCTGGATTTGAGGCAGCTTGTGGATCATATCTCACACCTGTAGATTCCCAGACCAGCGCAACACCAGAGCTGTGATTGCTGTGGCCTGGCTGCCACTGAAATTATTTGGGGCCCAAAGCCACTTTATTGTAAAGTGGGTCCAGACTTGGTTTCCTCCCACTGGAGTGGCAGATGTTGCTGGGATCTGGGGTGGGCCTAATACTCTTTTCACGGGCTCTAGCCTGGAATCGGGACCTCAGAATTCTGCCTGGTGCTGTGTTCCCTGTGGAGTTCCTATGCAAAGTCCTAGACTCACTTCCCTCTCCCAAGCTCACAGATTCTCTCTGCTGTGCTGCCTAGGGTTGGGGGAGGGGTGTGTAGAAAATATGAGATCCTCCTTTCTATCTTCTTCAGTGTGTGTTTTCCTTGTTACTATACTAAGCCAGATACTGTGATCTGTCACCTGATTTTTTGGCTCTTATTTAGATACATTTTTACATGGATAGTTCAGTGTGGTGTTCCTGCAGAGGACTATCACTGGAGGGTTCTCTTTAGCCATCTCTGGCTACACATCCTCTAATGTCAAATTCTGACTGATGATCTTGGAAGGGCAGGAATAATTGGACAGCTTTGCTAAAGGAACATTCATGACACACTGTCCACCAGAGCCAGGCCCAAATCTAGTATTAACTGGCATTGAGGTCATCACAATATGTCCTGACATGATCGTGGCTTATGAAAAACAGTTTCATAGCTGAGACCCAAACATGTTAGTTTCCAACCCCAGGCGGGGATTCTGTGATATGGATGTGCTTGTTCCACTATCACCCACTAACTACAACTATTAATTATGGATTGGCAAGGCTGTGTATGCAGAGGGATGTGCAGAGACTTACTGAATCAAGACTGGGGAAATGAGCTTGCAGCTTGTCGTGTAAATGTGTGATGAACCATTTTTTAACCTTCTATATTCAGTATGAGGTACCTATTATGGGCCAAGTGGAGCCCAGTACCTGAGGCATGCTTTACTCAGCTTCACAACAGTCCTATAAACAGTGGTGGTGTCACCATTTTGCATATGTGAACACTGAAGAGCATACTAAGGTCACCCTGCTAAATTTAGCTTATAAGTATTTTATTTGGGAGGCCAAGGTGGGTGGATCACGAGGTCGAGATCGAGACCATGCTGGCCATGATGAAACCCTGTCCCTACTAAAAATACAAAAAATTAGCTGGGTGTGGTGGTGTGCGGCCTGTAGTCCTAGCTACTCAGGAGGCTGAAGCAGGAGAATCACTTGAACCCAGGAGGTGGAAGCTGCAGTGAGCTGAGATGGCACCATTGTACTACAGCCTAGGGACAGAGCAAGACTTTGTCAAAAAAAAAAAAGAAAAAAAAAAAAAAAAAAGGCATTTTATTTTTACCAGATGGTGGTAGAAGTCAGAAATCCAAGATAAGACCTCTGCCTTAAAGAGTTTAACATTTAGTGAGAGAACCACCTCTTGCTTTAAATTATTGATTCCAGACTAGTTTTAATGATAGGATAGGAGTTCATTGGATAAATAGCTCTGCTGAAATCCAGCAAGGATTTTAGCTTAGTGGTAAGGGAAAGCTCTGAGACTTTAAAGGATGAGTAAATCTAGACAGGAGGAAAGCATCACAGATGGGGAATAAGAGCAGAGGCCTCGAGGTAGGAATCCTCCCTCTGAGTTTGGGAGGAAAGACAGCCATTGGACTAGAAATGAGGAAATACTTGAGACTAAGGTAACTATGAGATGGGAACAAGAGGAGCTGACCTTCTTATGGATTGAGTATAGATGCAGGGAAATTTGTCTCAAAGCAAGGTCACATATGGTTGGATTAGGTCACAAAATTAAAATTGCATATCTTATTTGTGCAGAGCTTTTTTGAAAAACAGCTTTCTATCAGAATCACTTTATCATAGGGAGGGCATAGTATTTTTCTCCTCAAACTGAGCTGTAGACATTAAAAGTATAGTCTGAATGAAGTATAGCATTCTCACAGTTTCAGAATGTAAGTAATTTTCTTACAGTCCTAATAATTTGGGAAGGGCTCTTGACAATAACACTGTAACTTAAGAATCAAGACTGAAGCAAACCAGTAATCCTATGTTTGTTTCTGTTTGCTTCACAGATAATCACTGCCAATCCTTGGAACACAATTGCTCTTCTCTGTGGGGCCTTCTTGGCATTATTTAAAGCAGCAGAGTTTGCGAAACTGAGTATAAAATGGATGATCAAAATTAGAAAGAGATACCTTAAAAGAAGAGGTCAGGCAACAAACCACATAAGCTGAAGTCACCTCACAATGTTTACAGAACTGCCCACATCAATGGGAGTTGTCATCACTTCCACTTTATAAACCGAGCTATCAACAATCCTGTACTCACTTGAAGAAATGGGGCCTTGCTGGGAGGAACAACATGTCCAACTGGAACTTCTAACCTGGCTCCCAAAGAGACTGTGTAGAGCCTAATAGAAAAGACCTAATGGATAACCTGAAAGTTAGTTAAATATTTAAATTATTAATGAACTTTTTAAAGAGCTGGCCAATGACTTTATTGAATAGAGTTTGTGGAAGATGCCTTTCTTCCTGTTTGGTTCATTGTATTTTATTAGGTTAAGCTCTAATAGGGTAATGAAGGCTCTACTTTTCACCTTTTAAAAGTGGACAGAAGAGTGTGATTTTCTTTTTCCAAAAATCCGGACTATCAAGATGTGCAGGTCATGTGTTGGAGCATATGCACTGTACACAAAGGCAAAAAAGCCTGTAACTTTGGCATCATCTGCCATTGATGTCCAGCCTCTGATAATGCTCTTTGATTTGTTAAAGGTTAAATGAGACTTTAAATCTACTTGAAACTAGTAATTAAGTTTCTTAATGGACTGACTAGCCACCTACTTGTCTGGCTAGAATGTTTGTTGATGTATGAGTTTAGATTAACGTTCAAAAGCACTAGGACAGATGTACATAGTAGGTGCCTACTCAGCGTATTTTGATGATTTCATTAACAGGTAAATAAAAGGTTAATACAAAAGGAATGAGTGTGACAGTATGAATATCTGCTAAATCATCAGGCACCAATTCTCTCATTTGGTGACTTCCAAAAACAAAAAGCTAGTTTGAGTCTGGACACCCAAGATGGATGGATCTGACTCTCAAGGTATGTTCTAACTGCTTCCAGGGAAGGGTTTATTGGGCACGGCAACTGATGGCAGGTGTCCAGGAAGAGTGACCTGGTGCCCTCTGAGTAAGCTTGGTTAACTCTTTACTGTGTTTACAAAACCACCCATCATCTGAGGAAGGGGCACACACAGTATGACTCTGAAAGCTTTTAGCCTAGCCTTTGACAGGGATGAGTATGCATGTAAAAAAAAAAAAAGTCTAGATTATTGTTTACATTAAGATTCTAAAAATTGTTTCCAGAGTTTTAAATTGTTTATGTACCTGTTACCTCAAAGATGACTTGGTGGCATTTTCTAAATTTTGTAATCTGGCTTCTGATAATCCAAAGGGAATAATTCAAATGTATGAATAGACATTTTAAACTGTCTTGTGTCCAGGAAGAAACTTTTTCGGTTGAATGATTACTAGTGAATTGTGTAAAGAAATATTCCCTGCCACTTTTCTGCTCCACAGAGGCATGAGAATAATTTGGGTTTTAGCCTAGGTCTCTTTAAAAAAATCTTATTTTAGCAGGGCAAATGCAAAGCCAGGCATAAAAGCTTACATTAACAGTACTGACAAAAAGGGAGCTGTGTTTTTTTAAAGTATGTCTAACAGTGATATGTCACTTTTTTTTTTTTGAGACAGTGTCATTCACTCTGTTGCCCAAGCTGGAGTGCAGTGGCGCGATCTCAGCTCACTGCAACCTCCGCCTCCTGGGTTCAAGTGATTCTCCTGCCTCAGCCTCCCAAGAAGTTGGGATTACAGGCATGTGCCACCAGGTCTGGCTAATTTTTCTATTTTTAGTAGAGACGGGGTTTTACTACATTGTCCAAGCTGGTCTCCAACTCCTGAGCTCAAGTAATCCACCTGCCTCAGCCTCCCAAAGTGCTGGGATTACAGGCATGAGCCACTGTGCCCGGCCAATGACTTTAATATTACTTAAATAATCTAAAAAAATGTTTCAATGAACATACTATATTTTCTATACTGTAGAAAGTTGAGGTCAGGCGTGGTGGGTCATGCCTATAATCCTAGCACTTTGGGAGGCTGAGGCGGGTGGATCACCTGAGGTCAGGAGTTCAAGATCAGCCTGACCAACATGGTGAAACCCTGTCTCTATTAAAAATACAAAAATTAGCCACTGTGGTGGTACGTGCCTGTAATCCCAGCTACTCAGGAGGCTGAGGCAGGAGAATCACTTGAACCTAAGAGGCGGAGGTTGCAGTGAGCTAAGATCACACCACTGCACTCCAGCCTGGGCAACAAAATGAGACTCCATCTCACAAAAAGAAAAGAAAGGTTGAGAGACCTACTAAATGTGCTTTCATGTAAGTACATAATTAGGAAGTGAACGATTTCTTTTCAGAGAAAAAAACTTTTATTGGCTGTAACCTTTCAAAATCTACTCTGGCTTCTCTTCAGTAAAAGAAATATACCTAAACCTTCTACAGAATAGACATTTAGACCTAACCTTCACTTTCTGGAAAGGCAGGTGTTTGCCTTTTCCTTCTCTTTTGTGTAGGATCATCCTTTTAATCACCCAGCTGTGCTGTCGACAGATGTCAGCAATACGGGCTGGCCCTGCGTGAGTGTAGAGAATCTGGAAGGAACACCTTAACCTGATGGCCATGACAAGGTGACTCTACAATACCTATTACTTGAGAACAATAAAATAGGAGCCTTTGTACTAAAAGGAAGAATTCTGGTTATCTTGCTTTTGGTACAGTGCTTTCATGATGACCTGGGAGTAGTGTGCAGACCCTATGCTAGAGTTTTTAACTGATAACTCCTGACCTCAGGTGATCCACCCGCCTCAGCCTCCCAGAGTGCTGGGATTACAGGCGTGAGCCACCACATCTGGCCAAGAATGTCTGATTTCTAACTGTGCCACAGGTTCCCTGGTCTTCACTAGAAGTGCTATTTATTATGGATTATGAAAAACTAGCTTCAAAGTAAATTAAACCTATCCTCTAAACATACAAGGACATAAAGATGATGGAGGGATACTCTAGAACTTAGAATTTTCTACAAATATTCTGTAAAATAGGTATTTTCATTTTTTTTTTTTTTTTTTTTTTTTTTTTTTTTTTGTTTTTGAGACGGAGTTTCGCTCTTGTTACCCAGGCTGGAGTGCAATGGCACGATCTCGGCTCACCGCAACCTCCGCCTCCTGGGTTCAGGCAATTCTCCTGCCTCAGCCTCCTGAGTAGCTGGGATTACAGGCACGCACCACCATGCCCAGCTAATTTTTTTGTATTTTTAGTAGAGACGGGGTTTCACCATGTTGACCAGGATGGTCTCGATCTCTTGACCTCGTGATCCACGCGCCTCGGCCTCCCAAAGTGCTGGGATTACAGGCTTGAGCCACCGCGCCCGGCCGGTATTTTCATAAAAGGCTAGAACACTCAACCTTGGCACACAATCTTCCTATTTTTAAATTAGACTTCATCCCACAATTTGTCTTAAAAGTTTCTATAAATGTATGTATGTATGTATGTATGTATGTAAAAAAAGGGGGCAGGCTTCTCAGTGTATGCCTAAGCTTAGAGCTAAAAGAAGCAAAGATGACATAAGGCAAAATACAAACATAGACTTTATTAAATGCTGCTCAATCCCCCAATGAAGATCTTTCATTACAAAACAGTTTTCCACACAACTGCAAGTTAAGAGATTGGAATGGTACTCTGATAACAAAAGATGTGAGAAATACTTGACCAAGTAAAAACATACAAGACCTCTATATAGTCAGCCTTTTCAGAGCTCTACAGAGGAAACCTACTGCATTTCCTTTAAATAAAGCCAGGCAGTGACAACTAGTGCTCTGTATCACCACACTACGGGACTCAAAGCCTCCATCCCTGGGTCAGGAGGGACTAGGTGAAGGGGAGGTCCTGAGGACTGGAAAGGCCCTGCCTTCAGCCTTTGAGAGGAAGAGGAGGAATGAACTGAGAGGCAAGCTAAGTAATTGACCTGACCTGCCTCTACCCATCTGTCACCACTGTGGGGAATTGCAGAGGAAGGGGGATATTCATGAGGAAAAATCTGAAGAATTCTGGTTTACTTTCCCAGCTTTTATTTATATGTTGTGCTTTTAAAAGCCTGGAGATTTAAGGTTTTGCCTAAATTCCAGAGTACAGTAATATCTTTATTGAGGGAGGGGTTAATGCAGGTAATTCCCCCCATCATATTTCTGGGTGAGACAAAGAGAAGGGTAAGGATGATACCTTAGTTTTATTTTAGGAAGTATTCTTTTTCCTAGGCTGTAACTAAGGTTTGCAGCAGTGTGAAAAGCACATTATAAAAGGGAAAAATATACAGAGCAGATTACCATACCTATGTGCAACACAATCAAGAATTCAAGTCATAATTCTTACCACTCCCATAATTATCTCACTGATATCATAGATGATAAGATTCATTTCTATGAAACTTCAGAAGTAACACCATAAATCCAATGATTAGACAAAGGTTACAATATACTGTGGCCATGATACAGCACAGGGCTATGTTTAGTCCATATATTTTTCAATTTACAGTTGCCAGAAAAAAATTGGCCTTTTAATTATATTATACTGATGAGGTTTGTTTTGTAATTTTTACATATTTCAAAAAAAAAAAAGCATACAAAACTGTGCCTATCTGGCAGAGGTGGGAGGATTTTTTTTATTCGGCACTTGTATTGCTGAGAATACTGTGCATGTTGTAAGCACTATTCTGTTTTTCTAGAGCTTTCTTTAGCTTTAGCTCCTCTAATTTTTTCCATAATTCTTCACGTTCCAATTCCTTCTTTTTCTCTCTGTAGATAAATCAAAATTTTTGTGATCAGAAATTATTTCAGAACCCAAAAAGAGGTGCTGTTTGACAGTTTACTGGAGAACACATGGCTCACCCACATTTCACTTAAATCCCTCTGCTAAAGCTTGAGTCCACTTACCTGGAGCACCTAACTTCTTCCTGTCACTCTCCTAAATGTACCGAGTCTGTGCATCTCCTGTACCAACTAGACATTACCATTTGCTTTGTGTCCCCTACACGTTATCACTACCATGACACTGTACTTTATAGTCAACAAAGTACTTATATGCTAATTTTCTCACATAAACATCTTGCGGTTGCTGTAGTAGTCCCATCACTATTACAAAGGCTGAAGGGGCTGGCCACTAGGTCAGTAGGAAGCACGTCCTTCACCAAACCAGACAGAAGCCACATCCTTTTGCCACTAACAGCCACATCACTAACCAGTTTGTATCTTACTCTCTCTTTTTACATGTCAAATGAAAACTTTAGTTTCAGTAGTCTCTCTCTAAAACAAAATGACAGTCACAATGTTTCATATGTCATTTCAACTACTTACTATCAGTTCTAAGGAAAACATTTCTGAATAACTTGAACAGACTATTCTGAAAGGCTACATGAACATGTGAAACATGGGCTTGTAATTCTACAGTTACAAGTTAAAAGGACAAATCCTTTTAAAGGATTTGCTGATTTATGCAGATAAGAAATAATAATTATATTCTTAGTCATGTAAAATACATATTTTTCAAATACACGTTTCTTATGATCCTCGTCATCTTATTTTTCTTCCCATTGCTTCCTGAGGCTCAAAATGTGGACTTAATTTCTATTCCTGCCTGAATGCTGCTATTTAAAGGAAATAATGCACTGAGTTAGTTATTAATGGACTAGATGGCTTTGAAGAAAGGCTATCCATTTTCTTCTTTAAGATAACCATAACTAGGAACTTGTCAAAATAGATCAGCTTTTCTAAACAGAACAGGTAATATGCTTATTAGAAGTAAATGGTAACTATTATCCCCAAATGCTGGGTGGGCTCAGGTACACTGGTCATTAACCACTTAAGTTTAAGACA